TATGACTATGCAATTTAGATCACAGCATTCATTGACAAGACATAGCATGGTCGCAGAGCCTCGCCATGCAGGGCCGTAACCAGAACTTCTACCGAGAGGGTGCACATCCGATAAAACCGAACCAATATTGACCTTTATTATTASTAGAACTTTCAGTATATAAAGTCGGAGTGTTTTTATTTTCGACTCCCATGAAATACACAACAGCGTATTACAACTTATAGCACTTAATTAGTGTTTGCGAATATGTTATGTTGATTTCCTTATGGACTCAGTTCGAAATCCAGTTCGTTTTTAAAACATATCCGGCCGATTCGTGGATAAAATCGACAAAATAAATCTAAAATAAAGATTCATGTCATTTTTTTTTAAATATGGAGATAGATGAGCGGACCTTCAGCTTCTCTGGGAGGGTGCACGTGCACCCAGTGCATCCCCCTGGTTACGGGCCTGCCATGTTTTTACGTCCGTGAATTGAAAAGCGTAGCATATATCCGTTTGGTCGGAGGGGGACGGGGTTTGGCTAACGACCACCGGCGAAGGCTGTACAARTATACACCCTTTTAATAAGTCCCGAGGTATTGTGTTCTCCGCACTARACGTCAAATATATTCTTTTGAATTTTTTTTGCAATACAAAAGGAATTGAAAAGAATAAATTTGACTTCACACAATATCTCGGCACTTATAAAAAAAGGCGTATAGGGGAGGTGGGAATTTTTGAACCTCGGAAATGCGCGTGTCGGGCATTTTAAGAAGCCTCAAAAACATTGCCGTGAATCTATAAAAATATAATTTGAAACAGCCAAAAGTTATAAGAGTAAATGCTTGAAAATAATATTTTAATGCATTTCTATTCCAACGAGTGGGAAAGTAGAGCGTATTTTTCCCATTTCCTAACATAAAGGTGGAAAGAGATAAATTGTCAGAAAGAATACCCCTGTTTAGGTTTCCATGTATAGGTCTAGGAGGTAGCTGCACTAGCACACCATACAGAATCTGTTTCTTTTTCAAAAAACTGGATTATTACAAACTATATAGGTACTTGTTCTATTTGTAAGTCTATGATATTGGAACTATAATTGTACTGGTTTATAAAATACAACACAGGGCCAAA